AGACTTTAAGGGAAGAGGACTAACTTACACAGACAAGCTTAGGTTGTGTTAATTAAAAGCTTGTGTTTTTATGTTTCCATGCAAGTTATATGCTTTATGAAGGAGCTTTTTCTCTTGCATCATAACTACTAATAGCATTCAATTAGAAGATAGCTACACTTCAGAAGAAATTAGGGTTACTTTATGAATTATTTATTTGGGCCCAGATGAATAGGGAAGCATAATTTGGTGTTCCTGGCTTTCAGGGACTCTGACCTGGAGACCAGGCAGACAGTGCTTGCTGGAAGTCATTAGGTAACAGTGTATTCCAGACATCTCTGTCCCGTATGCATGCCATGCTTCACTCCCCTTGGCTAGAGATATCAGAACCAGGCATACACTAGCGTAAAGTCACTAAACCGAGCTGCACGAAATCAAAGAAGCATATAGAAATAGAAGGTGCAAGGCCCTCATCAGTGACAAATTCCCCCTGTGGCCCCTGTAGCCCAGGTCCGTGTCAGGAGCCTCAGTGGCCAACTCTCTCCGTGGCCACTATTAATTTCCATGACACCTCTTTATGCAGACGACAATCCTATTTTATCACTTCTGTAAATTGTGCAGCCTCAGAAATTCTGGTCTCTGGATCCACAAAGGGAAGGGACTGTGCTGCACAAGGTCTCTGAACCTTCATCCACTGATCCCTTCTGCAAAGCCCACCTTTTGTCTGCTCCTCCTAGTGCTTCGGGAAGTGGCAAGGCAGGATTGGTCTAGGGGCAGCTGGCAAATTTCCTTGCCCAGTCCAGAGGAAGCATTTCTTTCATGTGTGAAGGTGGCAGGCTAGGAAATCCCTCTATGAGGAGAATCCTCCGAGGGCACCAAGGTTTGGGAACCCTGGAAGACAGGAGGGGCACTGTTAGGTCATGCAAGGGGAGTGGTCAGCTGTGGCCACGACCAAATACCCCTGTGGTGTGAGAGAGAGAAGGCCATGCCTATGGGTGAGAGGCAGGTGAGGGCAAGAGGCCACTTACAGCAATGACACGTTTATTCCAGGATGGGCTCAGGACACCAGAGAGAGGAGTGGTGGCCAACTAGATCTGACCAGGGACAAGAGCTTTTGAGAATTCATTGTGCTGCTTCACAAATATCACCCGATTATTCATTATTCCTGAAGTTTTCCTCTAGGCAGCCATGGTCATCCACAGATTGTGGAAGGTCAGGGGCTGGCAGTGGAACCACAGACATAGCATCAGGAGTCGCCCTCACATGAGGCCTGGGATTCATGGACCTGCAGAGAGCCTGCTACTCCTGAGTTTTCTTAGCACGGTGATTAGGACCAGAAACTTCCATTGTGATTTTCCCCCAACATCACATTTATTTATTCAACATTTAAGAAAAGAGCTAGGTACCCACTGTGGGCTACAGGCTGTGCCTGGGGCTGGAAGCACACAAGTGAGGGCAGAGGCAAGATGCTGTGACTGGAATCCACCCAGGGAGCAGCCAAGCACAGGCGCAGTGATTGGCAGGTGAGGCACAGGGGCCCCCAGAACACAGAGCAGCCCTGTCACCTCCCCAAGTGGAAGGATTCTCGCCAGCGCTGGTGCTCAGTGAGAGGAACAGAACTGTACGTGCTGAGAGAGACACTGGAACTGAGTAAAAGGGCAAAACCTGGGTGAAGTGGCCCTGGGCTCAGAAGCTAGGTCAATCATTCATCAGAGTTAAACTTCAATCAAGTTCTGACCTCTCCAGGCCTTGACTTCCTCACCTATAAAACGAGGGTCATCCAGCTTCTCATACAGAGAAGTAAATGAGAGGAGAGGGTAAAGTCCTTGGTGCAGTGGCAGCCTCAGCAGGCTCCCATGAGAGGCCAGCAGCCAGTTATCCTTGAGCTCCCTTATTCTTGTCCTGGCCCAGGATGACAGTGGCCAGAGGTGCCCTGGGAAGTCCCAGACTTCGAGAAGGCAGGACTCGAGGGAGCTCTCTGGTGTGTGGATCCTCAAGAGCCCCTGGATGAGGCAGAACTTGCCAGCAAGGCGGATCTCCCTGTGTCTTGGCCTCAAGGACACACAGATTCGTTTACCCTGCTTTCTTCCTTTCTGTCCACCCCTGAGCTTTTCCACATGAGTCACACCCAGTCTTAAAGGGCACTGCCCACCCTCCCTGCCAGCACCAGACCCACAGTGCCCTGAGCAGAAGGTGAGTGGGAGGACTGGGGGAATTCCAGTGTGGTGTTGTTTAAACAAAACTCGGGGAAGTGGCGTTTGTTTTCACAAGGAGGAAACAAAGCTTTCCAGTTCCCTAAAGTTGTGATCATGTTGCCTCAGCAACTCCCTCACCTGCTTAAAGCTCGAAGCTTTCAGGGTAGAACCCCTCCCAGGGATGAGCTGCAGGGATATGTGAGCCATGGTGGCTGTGGGAGGAGAAAAACTCAGGACACGGGGACTCCCCGGCCCAGAGCTGGCCAAGGTCAAGGGCCGGAAGACTTGAGCCCTGGCTAGTGCTCTGACAGAAGTCTTAGACAGCAGAATAATTAATGGAGAAACCCAGGTGTCCCCAGCCACACTACCTCCCACCTCTGGGCCTCGTGTCAGGTGGTCCCGACTCTCAGAGGGCCCCTTGCCCAGCCGTCTGCAGGTGCCCATCCCATTCTGGTCATGTGGGGTACCAGAAAGAGTGACCTTCAGAGCCCCGTTAATATCAAGGTCACACCCAGAGCTGGACAGCTACTGTCATATGGTGGCCACTCTGTCACTTGCTGTCTCAACAACAACCAAAAAAAGAACAGCACTTGAGTTGGGGAAACAGCTTCATTTATCTTTAGAAAGAAATGCTGTATAAATAAGCTCAGCACATCACAGTGTTAGAGGAAGCCCAACTGCTTAGAGTTGGGGAGAAACTGGAAAAGGTCAAACCTACGATTTCCTACATTACACTGTCCCTGGGGCAAGAAAGAAGAATCCTACAGTCAAATCAGCTACTTTCCATCTCTTTTAAGGAAAGAAAGAAGTTAGATCAAAAGGCCAATTTTTAAACTGCTCCTAATTGCAAAAACCGCATCTTTTTTCATCTTAAGATGTCCCCGGCACCTTGCCTTGTGGTTAAAACCCTCCTCCCACCAGCACTTTGGAAGAGCTGTTCTGAGGCCTCTCTGAACTCTAAGTTGTTCTAATTTCAGCACAGCTTGAAGGCCAAGAAGCTAAGAGCCGCCTTGCAGAGCAGGAAGAGAGGCTTTCCCGGGAGGGTCTGAGGTGAACTTGCTCTGCTTGACCAATCTGCACATTCAAGCCCTCAGAGCCATTATTTCATCTCTACACTGTGAAAAAGGAAAAAGAATTACACCGATGATTACAGTAATCTGGTTCCAAAGGATCCAGGGTCAAAGGACCGGATACGTGCATGTGTGGAAGTGTGTGAGGGTGGACGTGGCAGAACGTGGCCGGTCTCCACAGGGACGTGGGCACTGGTCTCTGTCTCGTGTCATCAGCACACCCATTTGGCTCTCTTAGAAATGACAGCACAGGAGTGTGGGGCCAGGGCTACCGTCCCTCACCCAGAGCTCCCCGGGAGTTACTAAGCACTGAGTAGCTTTGCTTCTCAGCTAGGCTCGAATTCTTTTGGTGGCAGGAATAATGAAAAGAACAATGGACAAAAGCCATTTGTGTTGGTGGGGAAAAAAATAAATAGATAGCAAAATAATCTCCAAATAATTAATCTTCAAAAATTTAGGGAAGTTTCATCAACTTTGAGAGCCAGCACAGAAGTAGGAATTGATCCCAGATCGCGCATTTGATGTTTCTATAGACTAATGCTCACACCATCTCGTTTAATCTCCTTGAAGTCGTGTGAGACGAACAGGTAGACCATCCTTGTCCCTCCATCTCTGCAGTGAGGAATACAGGAGTTGGCGGGGTTGGGTAACTAGCTCATGTTCACACTGCTAATCCTGGTTGGGCCATACATGAGTCCCCACCTCCAGCTCCAGAATCTGTGAGCCCTTCCCGGTGTGTTTGAGAAGACTCTGTTCATGTGAAGCCATAAATCATTTCCCTAACACCGACAGCGTCAGTGCCAAAAGGTCACCTACAGTAATAAGGGACAAGAGCCCAATTGACTCTTGCATTTCTGAGGGGAATAAAGCTAAAGTATCCACATGATTATTAGCCCCAGGCTCACACAAAAAGAGTGTTGTGCTCCTGAGTAGTATTCAGAGGCAGTATGGTTATTCTTACCATGCTGCCTACTCAAAGGATTTGTTTTGTTTTGTTTTGTTTTTTAACTGCCTATTAATAGTTGCCTTTGGAACTAGATTTCAAACGACAGAATAAAACTTTCATGTTACTTTGTAATCACATCTGGTTCTTCCAGCAAACAAAACAAACAGTGTAACCTACTTTGTATACCAGACTTGACCATATTCTCTGTAAAACCAGATTTGCTATTTAAGGGTAAAAGCTGCACACACTTCCCAAGGAGGAGGGTTTATTTAAATGCTCAGTGTGGTGGCATCATTAAAATTAGCCTATCTCCCACCAAAGTGACCCTTTTAAATGAAGTGGACACTCCCAAGATAGCTGTGTGGCTTGGTTTATTAGGGAGCCAACCACATTACTTTGTGATGACCCCTGACTAGGACATCCTGTCTCCAAAATGCTTCATGAGTGGTTGGAAGGTGAGCCAGAGCCTGTACGAAGGAGAGAGGATACTGGGAGACTCAAAGCCAATTATCTCTGCCAACAGCAGTTGTGCAAGCCCTGGTGTCATTCTTCAAAAGCAAACCCAAGGTAGCCGTGGACTCGCTGAGTTCCACCAAAAGATCTCGGTTAATATTGACATAATATCAACCATTTGCTAAGCATCCCATGCCACAAAAATATGCCGACAGCAGCACATCGACCTGGGATTTCTTCCAGTTCTGACTACCTCGGAAGGGTCTGAAGTCAATGACTTTTTCCTCTTTCAGGAAGAGAAGGGGCAGGCAGGGGTGGGTACTGTGCCATATGAGTCACTAACTCTGTCCTCCACAGGCAGCGTCGCCGCCATCACAGTGACAGTCATCGCCATGGTGGTGCTGGTGTTTGGCGTCGCGGCATATTTAAAGATCAGGTGAGACTCACTCTTTATGAAAAGAAGATTGATTTCCTTTTGTGGGGGTGCAGGCTGAAAGATGTTTGACTAAGGGCTTCTTTTTTTTTCTTTTGGTACTGAGGACTGAACCCAGGGTCTTTCACCAAACTGCATCCCCAGCACTTTTTTTTTTTATTTTTTACTTTGAGACAGGGTTTTATTGTGTCACTGAGTTGCCCAGGCTAAATTTATATTTGTGATCCTCCTGCCTCAGCCTCCCAGGGTGCTAGATGACCAGTGTGCTCCACCAAACCAGCTGGGCTTGTTTCTCTGAGGTGCCTTGGCCCTTGGAGACACTGGCCAGGGGTAGACATGGCCAGTGTACTCCACACTAGACAGGAGTGGCTGGCCTGAGCCTGGGCAGGAAAAAAACAGGAGCTCAAACCAAATGCACGGCATGCTGCTGGGATGGAAGGAGAATGAAGCTGGGGTTAGGACTCCAGATTCAAGGCTCTGTGCCAGGATCTCCTGGTGACCCTGGGAAGCCACATGCACCCAGAGCCCAGGTCCCACCTGGGAGCCAGAGCCAGGGTGCAGGGTGGGACCCACTGCTGGATGCTCTGCAAACCCGCTGAGTCTCTTTATGAGCTTTTCACTGGTTCTATGTAAAATGTCAAAAGTAAAGGCAAGTGTAGCATTTCCCTAAAACTAGGATTTTTCCCTGAAACTGTACCATTAGGGTTTCAGTTTTAAGAAATCTTTTCTTTTGTGAAATGAAAGTGATCACGAATGGCATGTGGGATTCTGCTCTCCTTAGTGAAACAGGAAGTTAGGATGCCGTGAGTGCCAACTTCTTTTGTGTTGCTCTGAAAGTCTGAGTCCAAAGCTGCGTGCCCTACACTGGCTGTCCTCCCAACCAGGAGGCACCAGACGGCAAGTGGCAGTCCTGTTTGCCAGTCTGTGTGGTACTCATAGCGAGGGACAGAAGGACCATGACACACACAGCTCCTTCTCCTTTGCGGCTGAGGCCACCCTTGTGAAGCCTCGTGCTCCTGCTGCAGACTCCCCTGCCTGCGTCCTCCCACCCACTACACCTGCAGCTGTCCTTGCCAGCCCAGCCCCTCTTGCTGCCCTCTAGTGCTGCCCCTCCCCACCCTGCCCTCCTTGCCCTGCCCTGTCTTTCCAGCCCTTACTCTGAGCTGCCGTGCTCCCAACACCACCTCCCTGAGACCCCCTTCCCAGTTTTCATTTATTTCCCCTGGTGGTTATTGTCCAGATACCTTCACCCCTTCTGGCCCTGCTCTTGTCAACCTCTGTTGTTGTGTTTTGTTTTTCTCATCCTTGTTTGTTTGGGGTTTTTTTGTCTCTCTCCCCACAAAAATGTAAGTTCCAGGAGGACCCAGTCTTTGTCATAAGCTCAGGGCTCAGCTCAAAGACAATGGTTGAGAACCTGAATAAGTGAGAACCAAATGCAAGACACACAGTCACATGGCCCTGTGACACACACACACACACACACAAACCAGTGTGTGCACCTGAGCTCCTGTCTTCCTCCCCCCACTGGTGATAGGCAGGCCGTCTAAAAGCCATATGTTGGCCTGTCCCTCCCTCCTGTCCTTCCCTCCTGTCCTTGCCCCCATGTGAAACTGACGGTGTAATCTCACCTTCTCTGTGGCCCTGTCCTGTCTCCCATCCACAGGGAGCTCCCTGCTCCTCCCTCCCTTCCCTCTTTCTCAGTCCTCACCGTGTTCCACAAGCCCAGTGATGGTGTCAAGCATGACAGAGTCCTGGACATGGCCTCCCCCAAGACACCACCAACAGGGAAGGCCAGATTTCAGACAGAAATGGGAAGAAAAATCCCCTCGCGACCTATACCTGAAAGCTTTATGAAAACATCCAGAACTTTCCTTCAAATTTTAAGAAAATCTTGCCTTCATTAGTCTGTATTTCTTTGAGCACCAAACAGTTTTATAAATTACATCTTACTAAATGGTACCTTTTCCCATCTGGAATAATTACTAGTTTATCACTGCAGATACCTCGTACTTTAATTATGAGTTAAATTGGCCTTTATGAAGTACTCTGGGAACCTCATTCCCAATTCCAACAAAGTCTCTGTTGAAAAATAGGTTCTGGGGCTCAGAAAAATAACTTATTGATAAATCATAGAGTCTTTCGAATTGCCAATGGTGAATTTCTGAGCTATGTCACTAAAATCTTACTACACCCCCTCCCCACAGAAGATGTTGAACTAACCTAAAAGACTCTTATTTTAGGCAAGAATTCAACCTTGCCTTCTCAGACCATACCACTGATAGGCAGGCCATCTAGAACAGTGCGGGGAGACATTAGTCTGAACCCAGCCCCAGCCTGTCCTAGTCGTGTGACCTGGTATGACGGAGCGAGTTGCCATCCTGATTCCTCCACCTGCAAACCTGTGAGGTAAGGGCAGTCATCCCAACTCCTGGTAGCACAGCCGGAGGGATTAATACACACTGCCCACAACATCATCACCCCCTCAGTGGTAGACTGTGAGGAACTCTGGGGACAGAGCCATGGAGAGCTAACCTGATGGGCAGACAGGAGTTGGCATCAGCCACATAACAGGCATCCCCTGGCACAGGGACTATTGAATGATGGGACCCATCCTTGCCACTATAGCAGCCTATTGCAATTTGTTCTGAGTGCTGATTAAAATAGTATAAAGTTTTATTTTGAACTCTATTTCCCCAATCTTTAACACTAGATAAATTTAGTGAATAATTGTATTGAATTAATCATTATTTCCCTGTACCATGCAGGTTCTCGCTGCTGAATGTAGAAAAGTTTACAGTGTCATAAATGTAAGGTTGCTATCTATCTACAAAACTGCTTGCATTTGGCACTGTAAACTAAAGAATGGGAAGCTGATCTGACCTGTCTTAGAAACCCCCTAAGAAAAGCCCCTTTCTGCTCCTCACTAGTTATTTTGGCAAAATGATATCAGAAGGTGGTTAATGGTTCTCATGAATCCTGAGGCTGTATTGAAACCCCTTCAAGGGTTACTTTACCAGGTTTGTGGAAAGTCCTTGGAATCATTCATCAAACATAGAGTTGGCTCACTAACTTGTGCATGTGTGTGTGTGTGTGTGTGTGTGTGTGTGTGTGTAAGGCTGGGATTTGCCTTGGCTGGAAGTTTATTCTTCTGTCATCCTGGATTTCTGAGAACAGTAACAGGAGTTTTCTTGTCTGGACTTGGAGCTCTCTTGGCTGAGGCTGCCAGAGACTGAGGTCACAGCTCGTAGGCATCATGACCCTCTGGCCTAAAACCATGGGCTGCACTGGCCCAGCCTGGGTCCTCAAGAATACAAGGACAGCCTCTCATCTTTCTGCCCAAACCTCAGCTCCTCCGAAGGTTTCCGAAACCTCTAGCCATCTGGTTTCCACACTCCCATTCTCCAGGGACCCCGTTTGGGCACAATGCCCCCTGCCTAGGGACCTGCATTGATTAATTACCTGAGTCATTTAGCATTTGACTTACAGGGAGCCACCGTGAGCTACTCTCCCAGGGACCCCTGTTATCCACTCGTCTTAACCAGCAGCAATCAGTGTAGACAAGTAGGCAAGTTCCACAGGCCAAGCTCAGCACAGGACTGACCTTTCCTCCTGCTGCTTAGGTGGCAGTGGGCAAATTCTAATCTCCCTGACCTTCAGTTTCTTCTATCTGCAAAAATAGAGGTGACCATACCCCTCCTCCAAGGGTCGTTTAGGGGACGTTGACACAGCAAGTACAGTGCTCAGCCTGACACCAGCACTATGGTTAAGAATGTGCCCAGGGGCAGAGTCTCCAGCACTCTACCTCAGTTTCCCTATTTGTAAAACTAGCAACACCTAACTCAGGATTGCCATGAGGATGGGCACACACACTCGGTCCTGGTGTGAGGTACAGGCAGTGGAAGGCCAACTGGTTGTGCTCATTCCCATGAGAACTGTGCTTTGCCCTCAGGGCCCCATGAGATAGCAGCTGCCAACAGTGGGCCATGAAGTTGGAGGATCCTCCAGGGGTACAATCAGGGATTGAAAGGAGAGGAAAGGAGGAAGGGGCATTCTCCAATCATGCCCTGGCTCTCCGGGCTTCCATGTCTCCCCCTGGGCAGTCACGAGGAGCTATTCTGAAGTGCTTCTGAGGTTGATTTAATGTTAGGCATTTATAAAAAGAAATCATCTCGGGGAGGTCTTGATCTCAGGGCTTGTTTGGAACTTTAGAAGAAAACATAGGCCCTGCCTGCCTCTTGCAGGAGGGTGTCTTTAATTAAGGATGAGGTCAGTCAGCTCTCTTTTGTTTAAACTGTTCAGCCAGGAGATGATCACTGTGGCGAGAGACCCTATCTGCTGTGGTGGGGAAGTGGGGCTGCTATAATTAGTGTGCTGGGACCCAGACAGACAACAGGCTGTTCTCTTCACAAAAATAACCCAACCCTAATTTATCACAGCAGGGCCTGGCCTCCGGGGTGTCCTGTCAGAGTCACCTGTCCTGCCTGATGTTTCACCACGGTTGCATTTTGCACAACTGGACTCGTTCTGCTCTTTGGTGGGCTTAAGCCCTAACCCAGCCAGCTCTGAGGCTGGGCAGCTGGTAGCAGAGGAGGCTCAGCTGGCTAGGAAGGCTAAGAGCTTCTAGAATTCATTGCCCACAAGTTGGCTTTGTGTTTCTTGGGTTTTGTTTTTCAGATCAGTTGGGGGTGGGAGGCTCCTGAGGGTCTAGACTACTTGGTTCTCAAGCTTCATTACATAAGAATCTATGGGAGAGCTTCGTGAAAACAGTTTCTTGGGTCCTAGCCCCCAGGCTCTGGTCTGGCCAGTTCAGGGCCTGCACCTACATTGCTAAGGGATCCTGGCCCCAGGGCCACACTGGGAGTGACCTGGCTTTGTCCCCACTCCTGAAACCCCCGTTGCACATTTTGCCATGGTGCTGCCCTTGTGTATCATGCCTCGGTGATTGTGAGTATGCTGTCATGGAGTCTGGCTATCCCTTCTTTCTTGGGCTCATACCAAGTTGT